ACCTGGTAGGAGTATTTAAAGGAATTAATCACAGATGGAAAGTTATTGAAAAAAGTATATTATACCCATGCCTCCTACCCCTTGGCAATAGTAGTGTCAGGTGTGTCCTATCTAAAAGGAGGGCTATTTTTCTTGTTCCAAACCACCCTGTTACTTCCATGAAACTTTCTGAACACTCAGGAACATCCACATCATCTCAGACAAAACATTCTGGAGCTCTGTGTTGGTTCAGTTATCCCAGGGGAAATATGGAGGGTGCTTACCAAGAGAAGCTCCATAGGAAACGCAACAGGACTGTGCTTATATGTTATCTTGATATATTTACTGACTCGTAGCAAGACCACACAGACCATGAACAGCAATATACTGGTAGCATTTGCCTTTGGGAGAACCAGGAAGTAATGAAATAGATTCTGGAAATGAAAAAAAAAATCACAGAGAGCATCAGAATCAGATACTACCACTATGTAAATTCTGGGAGGTTGACATAGGTTGCCCTGACATGTGAATTCATCCTTTCTGATACAGTGGTGTCTTCAGTGGGAAGAAGAGATGCTAAGAACAAAACAGTATTTAAAAATCCATCTTTTCTATTAGTGTCTGCAGAGAAAACAATGCCACAAATAACTCAGATCTGTCTCTGCACCATCATTCCTCTCCTACACTACCCTTTCTTTCAAGCTGTCTGATCAAAATCGTTAAAGTAAATGACAAAAAATTGGCTTTAATTTGTATTTAGCTTGGAGTCTACTGATTCTTGTCTTTGGTATATTATAATGATACTGTATGCTCAAAAGCACAGTGATGATCTACTGGAAAATGAGACAAAAAACCTTTTCCTATAGCCTTTCCTCTATAACAGTTACAGACGTACTGAAAATTCTAGAACTATATTAGTGATTAAAAATGTGCAAAACCGTTTTTTCTTACATGTCCGCAAGTTAATAATCTCCATATGCCCATTCAAGACAACAGGAAGGTGAAGCAAAGCACCGTTGGGCACTGTACAAATGTTCCCTACCAACTGACATAGCCAAAAATTGCCTTCAGTTTCTGAAGCTGTTCTTTTCTGTCTAACAAGCATGTACTTTTTCGACCAGCAATGAATTTACTCACATAGAAAATGGCAAGGGGGCCCTTGTGGAAGTCAATCACGATGCCCAAGACGAAGGTAAACTGCGATACAATGACATGCAATGCTGCTGCAGTGAGATAAGCATCGATGAGAGTCTTTGGCAAATAGGTTGTGACAAACCCCAGGCAAGAACAGCCTAACAGCAACTGTATTGAATGAGAAAGCAAATGAAAAACGAGATGTGATATAATTCTCAATGCCTAAACTGCCCTTCTTTTTTCCATATTTTAAGATCATTGTTCTTCATGGCTATACATGATGGATAGTTATTTGGAACATGCTATATTTATTAGACATGCTTAAGAGTAAGACGCTGGCGCATCAAAATAAGAGCACTTTACATCAAGTGTGTGGAGGACTACCCAAGGGTTCACACAGTGGAAAATGGGCCAACATAAATGGTAAGCATTTCCTTCACATGTATGTGTTGATCATGGGCATGTGCCTCTTCATAGAATCACAGAATCACAGAATGCCTAAGGTTGGAAGGGACCTCTAGAGATCATCTAGTCCAACCCCCTGCACACACAGGGTCACCTAGAGCACGTGGCACAGGACTGCGTCCAAGCGGGTTTGAAGATCTCCAGAGAAGGAGACTCCACAACCTCTCTGGGCAGCCTGTTCCAGTGCTCTGGCACCCTCACTGTCAAGAAATTTTTCCTTAAGTTCCTGTGAAACTTTTGGTGCTTCAGTGTGTGGCCATTTCCTCTAGTTCTGTCGGTGCCCACCAGTGAAAAGAGGCCAGCCCCATCCTCCTCACTGCCTCCCTTGAGGTACTTCTAGACACTGCTCAGGTCCCCTCTCAGCCTTCTCTTCTCCAGCTGAACAGGCCCAGCTCCCTCAGCCTCTCCTCATAGGGCAGATGTTCCAGGCCCCTGACCATCCTCGTAGCCCTGCGCTGGACTCTCTCCAGCAGCTCCACATCCCTCTTGTCCTGTGGGGCCCTTGAACATATCAAACATCTTTTCTATGCATTGTGACAGGAAGAAGCAGACCTTCATGTTCCAGATTGCACAACATATGTATTCAAATGTGCTGAGCTTAGTCTTTGTGGTTAGAGCATGCACACAGTCTTTCACTTGTCAAAGAATGCATATAAGGGTACATCCTTATGGGGTAAAATAGACTCATCTTCTACCTGAATGATGCCAGTCAAAAATGTTGTTGATGCCGTAAGTGTTAAGGCCTCCATGTAATTTTTCATAACTGTGGGGTCTGAGAAATTGGCTAATGAGGCATTAGAGGACAATATTTGGTTGAAATTAAGAGTCTTCACAATGTTTGCCACCATTGCATTTAGGATGCTGAACGAGCCTGAAAGCAACAGAACAGACAACAAAAAATGGAACTGCATGAGGTGTTGCAAGAAAGATCTACCTCAAAACCACCATTTCTTCCTCCCACCATCAGCCTCTGCAGTACGAGACAGTCTATTTTCACTCATGTATATAACCCGTTTTCAAAATTCACTGTTCCTCAACAAGCACCTAACGTTCCCCAGTGCTATCTGGAAAGTTCAGACTCCTTCTACAGTTTTACAAGTGCAGTCTCTGATGCGCATCAGGTGCATGACAGAAATATTATACTAAAAAAACAAAAACAATAACAAAAACAAGTGCATTGTCATGAGCTGAGAGAAAGTCTCAGAATACAGTCAGACACAGAAGTGCCCAGTTATGTAAGGAGTTCCACATAGCCCCTTATTATGATGATGTGAAGGGCCTCAGATGTAAACATCTTTCCAATGATTTAGTTGCTGGGAAAATTAAGAATGCCAAACCATCAACAGCTCTGACAAGAAACTGCCCAGCCTCAGGGGCAGACCAGGAGTTAAATCATGATTCATAGTCTCATGCTGGGGGTAAATGAGAAGCAGCTTGTGCTGGCCTTGTATGTAGGAGATGCCACCATGGTAGTCCAGCTGTCTCCCTGTGCACTGATGCTGTGACACAGGAGCTGCAGTAGCTCTTGTTGGGCTGGGGTTTAAAGCACCTTCACTTGACAGACTTGCTGAAATTCTCACCATAAATCAGCTGCAGAAGTGGAACAATTAATAGAGAATTTAGGGCTCTGGAGTCTCACCTAAATAACACTGGCATGTCAACAGATGAATAAACTAGGACATCTTGCCAGCTTTTGAAACAGCATTGCATGTAATGTCTAACACCTGTAGAAACATTTTGCAGTACAAGATAAACCTCACCAATTGAGATATGGTGCGAGGTCCCAAATATGACATAAGTCATTGAGCAGCAGAACGCAGAATAGAAGCCATTGATAACTGGCAAAGGTAACCTGGTCAGCAAAACTCCTAGCAGTCCTGGAAGGCAAAAATATTTCTAAAATCAAACAAACGGGTAAAACTCTCTCATCTTTGGTTAATATATTTAAGTAAAAATTTGCTGATGAAAACCTGACAACTGTAATGAAGACCCGAGTTATATTTTATAATGGAACCATCACAATATAGGCAGCATGAGTCTTCTTTATAATACCTCCCACACGCCAGGCCAGGTCTTGGCCAACATGCCAAGTGGGCAAGAAGCCATTCAACTCCCACCATGTATTTCTTAGGGAGTCCAGAACCTGATAAAGCCACTCAGGCCAATTAGTAACAAAAAAAAAAAAAAAAAAAGAGATTGTGTTGCAACAGGGGCACTTGCTAACTAGAAACTCAAAGCAACTGCCCTTTTAGGCCACCTGCTAGTGAGGTGGCCACGCTGTGAGTTTCTAATACACTTGATTTTGCAGTGTGGGTTGTAAAGACCATGTTATTTCGTTCACAATAGAAGAAAATGACGCTGCTGTTTATGTGCTGGAGTTAATTTAAGGGGAATTTTTTGTGTGAAAAAAGTATGTCCTGCTTTTGAAATTATACCATGTACTGTCTGATTACAGATTTTTTTTTCCTAAAAATATGAAAACAAATTGGTTATGAATTATGGAACTTATATGGTTGAAACTCCTGCATAATCCCACATTTAAGAAGAACAGGAAAATATGCAGGTCAAATTTAAAATGATGATATACAAAAGATATTAAGAAAGTTCTTTTTCTCTCTGCCTACCTTGAGGAATCTGAAAGATGCCAACACTTAAGCCTGCATGTATGTCTCTCAAGAGCCACTCTCTGCAGCGATACGAAAAAAGCCAATTCAGGATAGGAAACAACTTGAATATGATCTTTTTGCACCTTTTCCAGGAGAACCTGCAAAAAATTAGATAAGCAGTAATGCCTTTTGCTCCCTCCAGCTCTGCAGCATCCTCTCCACGCTGCTAGGGCTCTTTGCAGGCACCGTGTACCGTGACCCACGCCGGCAGGAGCGTTTGGAGCCCCAGCTGGCACCCGGGCCTCCGCATTCCATTCGGATGAATTGCAAATGCCCCGTGCGCCTTTCGCATGATATCCTCTCGGCTCCAGCGCCCTGAGCTCCAAATGCATCAATTACTTGACCTCATTAATGCAGAAGAACAATAGGAGATGGGATTTGGATCCTTCCTATTCTGGTCTAGAAGGAAAATATAAAAAAACGACACCCGTGGGGAAAAAACAACATAGACAAGTCACTTCCACCTCTCAAGAAACAGTCAAGTGCTTCCTGTATTACATTATTTAATGTAGGGATACAGGGAGAACATGACATGCATAAATTAATCTCCCTATATATTTTGAATCAGAATTTCCAGTAGGTAAACTCTGACTAACCCCACAGCCTGGTGCTCTTTTCCCCCTTGCTAATCCACTGGCAGTGTTGGCGATTTTCCAATTACGAAGCACATGTGAATGATGCAGGGTCTGCCCAGGGCTCCGTCAGCCTTGAGCAGTGGCTGTGGTGACTAAACTCCAGTAAATGTCACAGAATTGAGATCCCTTCCATCATTTTATTATCCAAGGTGACAATATACTGGGCTGCCAAGTGAATACAAAATGCGGAACAGAGAAAACACGAGATAGGGAAGTGGTAAACAACAGGGAAAAAGAGTATGCAGAAGCAAGATAGACATGGGGCTTATACAAGGAGCTGGGGGAGGGAATAAAGAGATTTTCCTACTGATGAGTAAATGCAATGATAAAGTTTCATATAATATTAGCTATAACATAAAAGCAACATTCTGCCTTTGATCTCCGGACAAGACTTATTTTGTTGCACCGAGCATTTCTTGGTGGGCAGGTGGTTGAATGATCACTTCATAATTAAGCACAATTCACCACTCTCTACCCAGGATTTTTGTTTCTCTGGCTCCAGAACTTTATCCAGTCTCCTCCTTATTTCTTTAATATCCGAAAGGACATTGCTGGAACAGAGACTAATCTTGATGATGAGTCCTTAAGATGAATGAGAAATGAGAAAACACCAGTAGCTGCTCCAATTACGACTTCATTTGCCTTCAGTTACCACCAGGAAATTACTTCACCGTAGCCTCAGTAAAGCACAATCCGCAGCTTTGGGCTGCAGAGCAGAGCTCATACAAGAGCCAGCTGTCCCGAAGGAGGGAGTTCTGGCTCCCCAGCTCTTTTCCCCATGTGGTCCCATCCCTCCTGGCTGCAGTGGGCAGATAGATCCCAGCAGAACCCCCGCACTTCGGGGAAGCTCCCCCATGGCCTGGTCTCGAGTCCTGCCACAGACCCAGAACAGCCACATTTCAGGATACATTTTAGTCCCCGTGAACTGCTGAGACAAAGCTCGGGTAAATGATGAATCAGAGATTTCTTTTTTTACTTTCTTACAAGGACTTTGCAGAGTCCAGAGTAAATACATAATGACTGCCAGTCCAGTCAGGATCCAAAGAAAGAAAACTGAGAGTATTCATAGTCAAATAAAACTGAAAGGGAAGCTGATGAAAGAGCTTCCTATTTTTGATTACATTTGCCCGGCTGGAAGAATATGAGGAATTCTCACACGCTGCCAAGAGGAGAGCTTTCTGGGGCTCCTCTGGAAGAAGAGATGCCTCTACCCCAGGACAACGTCCAAAGGAGGTGACGGTGACATCCCAGAACAGGAAACCAGGCTGCTGAAGCAGTAGCGCTGCACCAATACGCTTACCTCAGCCGTTACTGCCAAAGAATATAGGAACACAGCTCCAAAATAAGGAAAAGGCATTTCAGTCAATCTCTGTCATACCATTATGCAACTTTCTATGTCCCCCACTAAGAAGGAACAGAAAATGGGTCTTGAAATTTAAGAAACAAAAGTAGCAAAATCCACAAACCCGAGAAAGCAGATGCAAGCTTGTGCATGCCCCAAGGGTAAGGGAGGCACTGCAGGGGACCAAGACTAATGGTAGTTTGGCTCTGCAGTGCATATATCCCTCTTGCTATCATAGTCCCAAAGTGAACAGGGACTTGTGCAGATTGCAAATGGCAGTTTATGCAGCGCGGTGCTAGGCCGCTCTCATGCTCCAGGTGCAAGTTGCCATTACTGGGTGCTCTGCTTCAGTTATCAATCAGTGCAGTTCGCATTTTCATTACCAGCAGTGGAAAGTTTGCACCTTTTTTGTATACTTGGGCTTCAAGAGCCTCTTTAGTTTCTACGCATCTGTCAGATTCCTCGCATGTAACTCACCTGCAATGGAGCCGCCGATGGACTCGAGGGATTTGTATATCCCCGCATAAGGTGGAGGACAGGTTTCTTTTGAAGTATGTCTGGAAGTGCTCCTCAGTTTGTACGTCTCTTTGGGCTCTGAATGGTGTTGGTTGTAACACCCTGGTGATATCATCATCTAGCTCCATAGAGTCTTCTGATCACCAATGGTCGAAACCAGAGGAACAGCAAGTGCTGGAGGCCAAAACCAAAGAGCTTGTTCTTGCCAGTAAGACTGAAGGAAAACAACAACAGGGTCATTACTGAAGTCTCTCTTAAAAACAAAACCAATAAAAAGTATAATATGTGATTGGCCCACCCCAGCATAACTCCTGTGGAACCAATAGTCAAAGCTCTGGAGACTGAAATCCATTAAAGATCTGCAGCTCTTAGGATGAGATAAATCAACTGCCAAATCACTTGCAGGAATATTGGGTCCTTTGGGAACCTGATTTATTCCAACTCTGTGGGAAGGACCAGCCTGGGTCCCCTCTGTTTTGTGATCTCCAAACCAGGGCTGGGGAACAAGTTCTCAATTTCCTTGTTTCCAGCCCAGGAGGAAAAAAATGGTCTAGATCTGAATCATAAAGACCGCAGCTAAATCTCAGGCTATATAAGTGCTGCAAAATGCTGTCTAAAATCTGCATCTAATACAGTTCAGGTTAAGCCTCAGAATATCTGATTCCCATTCCTTAGGCTTTTAATATCAAGAAGGAGATCTGAGTCCAACCACTATCGCTCCATGTAGGTGAGATGTGAGCTCCCTAAGGGAACACCGAGTAAGCAAGGTCTAGGGCAAGGCAATATCCGAGGGACCTGTCTGACACGCACAACCAGAGCAGAAAAAGCTTCTAATCCAGAGGTGCCAAGTAGAGACTGCATGCATGTAAAGCACTGTGGTGACATGTAGTAACAGAGAGGAAAAGAGGAAATACAAAAAGGCTGGGAGTTAGCAGAAAGGGTCTCTTGAGAATGGAGTCTAAATACAGCAGAATTTGGAAAAAAAAAAAAAAGAATATTTTTCCTCCTTTTCCTTCCTTTCCTGAACTGCCGGGATGGGTGTACCTGTCTAGCGGTCTGCGCCACTGAACCATGCTGCTTCTGATACAGCAACAGGAGTCTTGACCCTGACTCTCCTGTCTTGTGAGACACGGCCACAGGCGTGGGGACACACCGCGGCCGCCCAAAACCCCAGCAGAGCCGCTGCTGGGCAAGTCTCACTCGCGCTGCATCATTAAGGCACAGTTCCTCCCTCTTCGTGCACAGGAGATAAATCCAGATCTTCCATGGGCAGATTTAAGAGCCATTTTTTGTTCATTTTGTTCTTGAGGCCCAGCACAAGTTTTTAAAGCTTTGCCTATTGGTGTCATCTTTGAACACAGGCACCTTCCTGAGGTAAAATACTTCAACAGGAAGGTAGAGTCTGCTGATGGAAGACATTAAAGAGCCCATCCTGCCAATGAGTTAAGTTATCTTTTAGACACAAGCAGGGGTAAAGTTCAGCTCTCCTTCACTCCTGCTGTTTGGACCCCAACGATGACTCACGGAGGCAGAGGACAGGGTCCCATTCTGCCTGCCCGCGTCCGGAACAAGAAGGTTTTTGACACAGGAAGCCACGTTGCGTGTCCATGCAGGACGTGTCCGCCTTGCACGGCACGGCTGACAAAACTGGTCCTCCTCAAGCTTCAGGCCTCATGCTCCAAACCCTAATGCTGTTTATTTGCAATTCCGCACTTGCTACCTGGCGAAAACACCACAGGCTCCACGATAAACTACGCCCAACCTTCAGATACCATCTGGTACGTAGGTATTTTCGGTAATATAAAGCCATATTGCAGCGCTGAGAAACAGTTTGTTCTCTAAAAAACCTAAGTGGGAAACAAACACTGGGCAGAGGGAGCTTAGTTCTGCCCGTGGCCCCACCACGAAGCCCCCAAAAGGGGCAAGGCGCCCTCAGCTCGCAACCCGGGGCCTGTCTCAGTCATATTCTTGAGTTTATTCGTTGATTTTCCTTTTTTTTTCTCTGTCAAACTTGCCCTATGGGCAACCGAGTGGCAAAAGGGCAGACGGGACTCGTGGACACGTGAAATAAAGGGAAGCACCGGGGAAATCCGGCGGCAGGGAACAAGGAAGCCCCGGCCCGGGC